GTGTGTGTGTGTGTGTGTGTGTGTGTGTGTGTGTGTGTGTGTGTGTGTGTGTGTGTGTGTGTGTGGACGCTGTGTTAGATATCTGGATAATTATTAAAAAAAGGAAGATGATAAAATGAATATAATAAAAATGAAGGTGCGTAGTCCATCGTTATGTTAATTTGACACTACTGGCAAATCTCTCGGTGCTTTTCACATGTAACAGTGATAACAGTTGACTATTACAAACGTCAGCATTTGTCACATGTAACAGTGATAACAGTTGAATATTATATCTATCAGCGTTTGTTACCTATAACAGTGCTAACAGTTGACTATTACATGTATCAGCCTTTGTCAGCAGTAACAGTGAGAACAGTTGACTATTACAAATGTCAGCATTTGTCATGTGTAACAGTGATAACAGTTGACTATTATATCTATCAGCGTTTTTCACCTGTAACAGTGATAACAGTTGACTATTACAAATGTCAGTACATGTCATCTGTCACAGTGATTACAATTGATTAATACATACGTCAGCGTTTCTTACATGCAACGTAACAGTTGACTATATATATATATATATATCGGCATTTGTCGCCTGCAGCAGTGATATCAGTTGACTATTATACCTATCGTTGTTTGTCACTTGCCACAGCGATAATAGTTGGCACCACATTGCCGCCACCTGGGACAGCATCGATGGTAAACTGAGCATGTATCTGGACGGTGAGCTGAGGAAGGATTCGCAGAACGTCAGCAAAGGTGTGCCGATATGCGGCGGTGGCAGCTTCGTGCTCGGCCAGGAGCAAGATTCCGTTGGCGGAACTTTCAATCATGCCGAGGTGTATGTGGGAGAACTAACGCAGGCAAGTACGCGGATATGTTCGCGACAAATTAGTGTTAGAGTTTTGAAGTGGTGAATTGTCGCGCCATCTATTTTGCGTTAATAATAATAACAATAATAATGATGATAATATTACTAGTACTAATAACAATAATATTAATGTTAATGATGATGATAATAATAATAATGATGATGATAATAATAGTAATAGTAATAATAACAATAATTACAATTATCACATGAAATCTACGACAGACACTAACAGATATCGCTGTTTCGTGTGTAACAACTATACAGGTAAACCTGTGGGACTACGCGATGGACACCGAGGAGATAAACGTGCTGAACGGGAGTTGTGGATTTTACGGTAACGTCATCGCCTGGCCCGACCTAAAAGATCTAACGTACGGCCTCGTCAACATCCACGCCATCTCGACGCTCTGCCACGACCTGTCCGACTGCTCACCGGACGAATCCTGCCACTGTGCGAGCAGTGTCCAGCTGGAATCGTGCGCGCTGGACGTAGTCAACTGCAGTCGAGAGCTGTGTCTCAACGATCAGCCGTGCGTTACGACACCTGGCGGCGCTTACTGTAACTGCAGTGCGGGATTCAGCGGGAAGTACTGTCAGTATGATATCAATGAGTGCAGCTTCAATAATGGGGACTGCAGCCACGCATGCGTGAACACGATCGGGTCGCACTACTGCGAGTGCGACGTCGGATGGAAGCTCGACCTCTCGGACAATAGAACATGTCTCGATGCAGCATACTGCAGAATTGACGATAAATACTTCTTGGTACGTGACAAAAAATCTAAAATATTTATTTCCAATTTATTTCTTCTTTGCATTTTTTGCTGCCTAGTCTTTGCCGTTTCCTTGACGTTGTCTTTGCTTTTTCCGTGCCGTTGTCTTTGCCTTTCAATTAACGTCTTTGTCTTTCCCTTAACGTCTTTGCGTTGATTTTGCTATTAACATAACCTTGCTTCTGCACAGGCCTTGTATTTGCGTTGACTTTGTCAAAATATCGACGTTGCACTTGCGTTGTTCTTGGCTTTGGCATTGAGCTGCACTTACCTTATTCTTTCCATTGTTCTGCCTTCGTTAATGCGTCAATTCTGCATTTAAATTGACATTGCTTTTCCACCCTGCCTCTGCCGTCGTCTCGCTTTGGGCATTATCAGCTCAACTTATATATTATTATATATATATTATTATAACCTAAACTCATGCCAGCTTTTGCATTATAACCTCGACTCAACAGGCAGGGGAGAAGTGGAAAACAAACTGCACGACGTGCGTGTGCCGCGCCGGCCGAGTCGACTGCGAGCCTCTTGAGTGTCCTTCCCGCTGTCCGGAGTTCGACCAGCAGCTCTACCACCGGCCGGGAGACTGCTGCGCCATCTGCATCGCCGAGCAGATACCGTGTCACGTGACGCGCCACAACACGTACATCACGCTCGACTATGTCAACTTCAACTTCGACGGCAGCTGCCGCTACGTGCTGTCGCAGGACTGCGCCGACATGAACTTCACGATACACGTCGAGAGCGACATGGAGTCGTCGCAGCGCAAGACACTCTACGTCTACCTGAACTGCGTTCGCTTCGTCGTTCGCAGCGGCGCAGTGTTTCTCAACGACACGACCCAGGTGGCGCTACCGTACGTGCATCCGTCGTTCGAGCTGGCGGCGTCGCGAGACGAAGATGGCATCCTGGAGATTAAGACGCACGTCGGCGTTTCGATTACGTGGAAGCCGGCTGGTGACATCATCGTCCAGATACCTAAGAGCTATCAGGGAAAGCTGTGCGGACTCTGTGGTTCTTTCCACAGACGTATCGACTACTATTTGCAGTCGGTGCCGGGGAACAAGCAGTTTGTACCGGGAAAGATAGTCAAGGTGATATATATATATATATATATATATATATATATAATATATATAATATACTATATAATAATACATATATGATACATTGATGAATAATATGATACACACACACCACACAAACACACACACACACACACACACACACACACACCACACACACTCACACACACACACACACACACACACACAGCACACACACACAACACACACACACACACACACACACACACAAACACACACACACACACACACACACACACACACACACTCACACACACACACACACACACACACACACACACACATACACACACACACACACACACACACAACACACACACACACAACACACACACACACACACACACAACGACACCAACACACACACACACACCACACACACACACACACACACACACACACACACACATATATATATATATATATATATATATATATAGGCCTATATATATATATACATACATATGATGATGATATATATGATGGTCAAGTGTAAACAAAAACAAAAAATCCAGCATGTTGCTTATTAGTGGAAACTCGCAAGGACCTGCTGTTATTTTTCCGTAAAGCCAGTCGACTACACATAGTATTTTTCCAGTCGACTACAAATGAATAGGAAGTATAGGGTCATTCGTAATATCGATTTTTCTGAACTTAGGCGATAATTTGAAGTACGTGGTTCGCACATTCTACGATTAATCTTCGTAAATAGATTTAACTCCAGTTACCACTCGGGAACATATAGGACAGGCGTGCGTAATACGTTACAGAAAATGGGAACCACATTTTACACATAAACCCATCGCTAGTTTGCTTCTAAGGGATGTTATGTCGTTTTGCAGGAATTCATTAAAAGTTGGACGGTAGAAGGAACGCGATATTGTCGTGTTCCCAAGTTTGTTTCTCAGAATCCTCTTCGCGAGCTTGCCGGTGAAGAAGCGAAGGGCGCATGCAGAGGCCAGCATCAATATCAACAAAGACAAGCGCTGAAAGCATGCAGTGTGTTCAGGTATGTTTCACAGTAGCTAAACGGTTCTGTACTACAATAAATCGAATATAAATGCGGCTGATACATCCACGCGTCCATCCAATCTGCAGTGGCATTTGTCAACATTAGGCGATTAACGAGAAAGGAGATCGGCGCAAGCAGTAATAAATCCCTCACTTTAACATCATTAAATTACCATGGACAATAATGCCCTCTTCAATAATTCACGCTATTCTCTCCTACTCGTGTCGAGCTCACGCGTGTAACTGTACCCTGCTTTTTCTCCTTTATCAAACCCACTTCCACCAGTAGACGCCTTTCTCGATCTTTTCAAAAAAACATTTTTCAATTTCCGAAATTAAGCATTTATCACGAGCGCGCAACGAGCGCCCCAAAAAAGCCGACGAGAAGCGAACGCGAGTTGTCACCGCGCATCTCTCTTCCGCTGTGCAGGGAACCAGAATTTACGCAATGCTACAGCATCGTCGATCCGAGGGAGTACTACCGCGACTGCCTGACCGACATGTGTCTGTGCAGACCGCACGAGAAGCGCTCGTGTCATTGCGACGCTGCTATCGCCTACACCGAGGCTTGCCTCGAACAGGGCGTGGTCATCAGGCAGACGGACAGACGCGGCGTTTGCACCACGCGGAGAAGGGATAGGATGGACCCACTATCGAAACTCTACCGCCGAGAGATCTGATTATTGATTATAGATTATATTAAATCATCGATAGCGGTGTACACGGACGCGATGCAACTCTGCTTAAGTGACATATAGATCGGCATGCCAGCGGGGGGATTGTAAATTGGGTTATTTTGGTTGCGAGTTTTGTTTGGGGGCATAAAAAGTAATTGTAAGAACTGAATCAGCGATGAATCGATAGAGAATAAAACATAGGTTGATGAGAATGTATTGGGAACTGCCTAATATTCTATAAAAGAGGAGTTGTATAGAGTATAACTCGGAGCTATGTGGAGTTATGTGCATTACTTTTGAGCATGCGATAGATAAACAGATATACGTTAATATTAGGCTGATCATTGTTCGAATTGTGTACATAAGAGAAAGAAAATCACATTTGCGAATAGGAACGAGGTAATTCACACAAAAATTTTGGGGATTGATGCACCGGTTCATGGTTATGTTTGTAATGTATGGATTTATACTTCAGTAGTAAAATTATAAAGTTAAACAAAGTTATATATGACACGCCAAAAACAGCCGCATAATAATAATTGTAGATAAAGCATTAGAAAAAAAGGGCTAACTAACATTTCGTGAAATAATTCTTTTTGATTTGTCCAACCTTGCCAAGTGCTTACCTGTTAATATATAAGGGCATAATCGCGTTGAATTTGAAAATTTACATATTTGCGCAAGGAAATATTTAATAATAGACACATTTATTATCGAAAGGCATGGATACGCTACTAAGTTATTCAGTATTTTCTCAAATCCTATGAGTATCATAGTACGCACCGTATATCGGAATCGCCTGAGTTGTACCTCTAAATACAAATGTACATAGCAGAAATTTACTAAATCTCTGATTGTGGGGATATATGCTGTTATATGGTCATTTTATATGTGCACAGTCAGGCTACTTTTGCCCTTAAACTGATAACATCACATGGCTATGTTATCCTATAAGATGGTGATATCCTATGATATGCAGCCCTGCATGGTCACGCGATTGACGCGAACCAACACTGTTAATTGCTTAGTCGCTGCAAAACATTCTTGATAATTGTACGTTTCAATAACTAAATGTTTTGATCTGATTTAATTAGCTAGGAAACAGCAAACTACTTACTGAGCTACAAATGCACACCAAAAGAGGGATTGCAGGTGAACACAGAGGCGTGTATGTGAAAGTTCCCACGATTACATCGAATAATACGCAGAAACACACTCGAACTGCGCGTAGATGACTGCTTCTCTAGCGAAATTTCATCTTCTCTATTATTCTATCCGGAAACTCACAATGCAACCGTACATATGCCCAGGCTATCTATCGCTAATAAATGCAGATTACCACAAATCAGAAAGGTGAAATGACTTGAACTAATCGTATTAATAAAATTTATAATGACTACAATATCTGATCCTAGTTTGATGATTTTTTTATTGATTGAAAATAGACTCACACTAATTAATGTCAATCCGATAGTTTCCACCTCTAAAAAATGTGTCGGCTATTTAGGCATGCTTAATACCTAAATAATATATTTATTTTGGTATGCATATATCTAATAACAGCACACGATACCACAAGCAAATACTTGACAGCATTGATCTGACGTATAGGCGTGTAGACTTGTTAAATTCACTTTCTATCAACGTTGAAAAAATTATTTGAAAACAAAAACCATAATATCTTAACTGACCAAGTTTTATGTAGTTTACGATGTGATCGAATGTATGATTATACAGTTTATAGGTTATACCGAATAATGGCATAAGGTGCTAAACTCGTGAAAGTGTTGCTTCAATATTTATGAAATAGGTGGATACAACAACAACAAATTTGTAATATTGATAACGAGTAGTTATAACGTCATACTTTTATGACACTAATATCAACAAGTAAAATCGGGCGCCTACAAGTTTCTAATTTAATATACGTGCACAAAATATTACATTGTTGATCAGTGGAAAAATCATCATTCTACAAGCTGGTATATAACTAATGTTATTCTTGTCGCATGGTGGCAAAATATTAATTTATTATTCCAATAGACGTAGACCAATAATTCTACACCTGTTTCTAGCTATACAGATAGATCGATACACTTAAAGACTAGAAAGCTCAACGTTATAGTAATCAATTATTGTAATCCAGTCAAATATTTCATAACAAATTCACCAGGTAAAACCAAACCCATAGATTCTGTGACCGGTCTGTATATATTTGAGTGATCTACGCGATTAGCCACGCTTGGTCTCACCAGTATATCTATATCCTCTCATAGCGCGTGTATCCACGTATATCCAACTCGTGACGACTATATTTCCCCAAGCTCGGTCTCGGAGAGTTCGTCGTCTGCTGAAAAACATTGTATGCATATTGAAAAATATATATAAAGAAAATCTAATTCAAACTGTCCGCGAAACGTAATTAGTGATGGCGTTGACGACTAAAAGCAGCTCAGGATGAGCAAGTCAGTGTTAATACTGTTAATAGCAGTAACTATTGCATCGCTTTTGAGGAAAGCTAAACATGCCGAACAGGTTTACTGTACACACACACACACACACACACACACACACACACACACACACACACACACACACACACACACACACACACACACACACACACACACACACACACACACACATACACACGCACACAGAGAGAGACACCCCCATATATATATATATATAAGAATAACATGTTTGACTGGTAGATTTAGTAGAATGTAGGGTTCCTAATTCCATAAAGGTTTCGCATTGTTACGATTATTACCAAGTTGTTGGGTCAACCGTTTAAGATTTTTTTTGTCTCTAATATTTATTGGCTTTTTATAACGCCAGAAGAGAAAATATGGTCATTACACGATTGCCTTGGTGATATGAATTGTAAACTAATGATAAATGTTGGCTAAAACTCGGAGAGCATGCTTGATTTTGCATTTGAAATTTATCATCCTTGAGATAACATTTCAGACTGATGAGTTACAGCTCACAACGAGGTTAACAGACGTTGAATATTTTGTTATTTATTAGCAGGTGGCAGCACGGCACGTTCGATCTAAGGCTGTTTTCTAAATTGACGCCATGGGATGCGCATCCCATTAATCAAAATAATTTGCCGCTGCCATATAAACATATATTTTATTAACGACAATAGCTTAATGCTATCAACTGATGAGAAACTAATCAGCGAGGATATAATACTTTGAAATTATGATCATCTAAAGCACCCTTACTGAAACCATCATAAAATACATCATAATCAACCATATCTGAAATATACATCCGACGTAGAAGGTTATCGCACTCGAACCTACAGTTACAAACACTACGACAACTATTACTAACACTACAGCGTCTATGAGTTACCATTTTTGTCCCAAATGTCAAACATCAGTCTCGATCTCCATGCATCCAGAGGCATTCCAACTGGATCCAGCTTTGCAAACTCTTCCCTGTTTATACCGCCGCTGTTGTCGGCGTCAAACTTTTCCAATAGCATCCTCGCTCTCGCAATTCTCAGTGACGGGGCGATGCGCTCCTCCGATCTGCGACCGAGTCTAGGCAGGTTTGCTCCGGAACCCTTTACGAAGAACTGACTCGTGGCCGCTTGTGTCAAGTAGAGCGTGATGAATATCAGACAGTATGCTTTTACGGCATTGTTACCTGGAAGAGGAATGGCGGCAGGGGAGTCACGCAGCCCGCACTGTTCGTGGCATTTCGCTTTTACTGGGCGATATGTGAAATGCAATAGCAGGCGGCGAAATAACGGTATTGTATTGGTTAATTATTACTACATATGATTTGCAAAATATAATGATGTAGGATATCAGATTTGACCATTTCTAGTCCATCCATTAATTCATCCATCCGTTCGTCCGCCCATTCGTCCGTCCGTCGGTTCGTCCGTCCGTCCGTCGGTCCGTCTGTCCGTCTATCCATGCATGCATGTATCCATCCATCCATCCATCTATCCATCCATCCATCCATCCATCCGGCCATCCATCCATCCATCCATCCATCCATCCATCCATCTATCCATCCATTCATTTA